AACCAGATGTAAGTGCGAGTACTGCAAGGCAGGTGAGACGAAGGAGGGAAGCCCCCTGTGGGGGGCCACGAAGCGTGCGACCGCTGTGCCGAAATTTGCGGGGGACGCATGCGAAGAGCCTGCGGAGAAGCTCCCCGTGGGACCGCGAAGCGTGTGAGCGGGGTGCCAAAAAATTGGCGGGGGGGGGGCGCATGCGAACCCTGCCATGGAAGCCTTCGGTGGAGCTCCCTGTGGAGCCACGAAGCGTGCGAGGTGTGTGCTGGAATTGGCGGGGTACGCACGCGAACCCTGCCACAGGAGCCTTCGGTGGAGCTCCCTGTAGGGGCACGAAACATCTGAGGGATGTGCCGAAGCACAGACACAGGAGAGGAGGTGGAGGAAGGAGACCACGAACGATGATGGAGATGATGATGCTAACGATGCTGTCGATCACGACGACAGTCTGGGATGAGAAATGAGGGGGCAGCGGGAGGAGTGAGACGCGGGGCGCTGTCTCGTCAAAACAAGGACCCCACTCCACAGGATGGCTAAAAAAAGCTAGCTGCTGATACATACATATATATATATACACACGAACAGCTATGTCATGACGTGTTGAGTGCTGTTGTTATGGGCGCGCGGGGGCATGCGCATGGGGCCCGCATGGTGTTCTCTGCCAGGAATGTAGGCACAGGGCACGTTTCATATCAACGCACGTGCACCGCACCCTTGGGGGGCGGCACACATGTGATACAATGGATGGACGGTCATGCAGACGATGTTGTGTTTCCCAACCCTCCCTCTGGTTGGGTTCTCGTTCTGAACTCCTCCCCAGTCCTCCTCCTCCTCATCCTGTTTTCTTTGGCAAGCTGCGGAGCGAAAGATCGTAGCATCAGTATCACGGGGCCGACGCCCGCCCGCCCCGTCGCGCTCGTAGTCAGGCAATACGCGCGAGGGGCAACAAGGTGGTGGCATAGAGGGGACGCCCAGCCACAACTGCCAGCAGCAAGCCGAAGGGTGTGATGCGGCTGGACCGCGAGGTGGAAGCACAAGACGGACGGAGAGCACAACGAACCAGGTGATGAAACGGTGACGGACGGGAGCAAGGGGGAGAGATACTGGCAGGAGAGCAACACGCGCAGGTGGGAGTGATCACTCATCAGGTTCCTCCTCCTTCTCCTCCTCCTCCTCCTCCTCCTCCTCCTCCTCCTCCCCCTCCTCCCTCGAACCTCACACCTCGACGCTCGAGGTCTGCGGGTCGCTGGAGGTAACCACACGCGGAGAAGCCGAGCCCCAGGCGTCGAGCGCCCAGTTGACCCCGTCGGAGTTCTTGAGGGACGTCAGCTCGGGGCCCCTGGGCGGCCACAGCGGCACCCCGTCCTCGTCCTCCATGGACCACCTGCTCGGGAGCGGGCGACGCACATCTCGAAGAGCAGGCTCGAAGGGGCTTTGTGGCGCTGCCTCCTGTTTTTGGACGGGCTGGGGTCCTCTGGAGGCCTTTAGGGGCCTCCAGTGACGTCCACGGAGAATCCCAGAGAGGGGAGAGGGGGGTGCAAGAAGACGGAGGAAGAGAAGCATGAGGAGCAGCAGCAGAAGGAGAACGAGAAGGCGACGACGACGACGCGGACAAGGAGGAGGAGAGAGGAAGAGGAAGAGGAGGAGGAGGGGGGCAAGAGGGAAAAGTTGGAGGAGAAGGCGGGAAGAAGGAGAATGGAAGTGCAAGAGGACGACAAGGAGAAGGAGGAGGAGACGGAGGAGAAGGAGGAGTAAGAAGAGGAAGAGGAGGAGGAGGAGGAGGAGGAGGAGGTGGAAGAGGAGGAGGAGGAGGAGCAGCAGCAGCAGCAGGGGAGGAGCACGAGGACGAGAGAGGATGGGTTGGGCATGAGGGAGGGGACGTGGGAGGTAGCAGAGGGAGGAGGGAAGAGGGGGGGAGGGCAGGAGGAGGGGAAGGAGGAGGGAAGAGGAGCAGGAGGAGGAGGAGGAGGAGGAGGAGGAGGAGGAGGAGGAGGAGAAGGATAGGAGGTGAGGAGAAAAGCACGCCCAGAAACTCTGGAACCAACAAGAGACCCCCCGCAACCAGATCCTCCAGAAGCCCCCTGGAATCACCTACCTCCCTCTCCCTCATCCCTTTCCTCCCTACTCCTCATCCTTCCTCCCCCGCCCCCAGCTCTCTTCCCTCCTCCCCCCTCGTCCTCACCGAAGCCTCCGACAGCGAAAAAATCTTCGAATCATCAAAAAGGCATCGTAGAGTGTCGCCCACCACGACGCTGCCACCGCCGCCGCCGCCGCCGACGACGACGACGTGACGACGACCACGACGACGACAACCACCACTACCACGACGACGACGACGACGACGACGACGACGACGACGAGGACGACGACGACGACGACGACGACGACGACGACGACGATCATCCCCATCACCATCACCACCACGACGATCACGACGACCACGATGACGACGATAACGCCAGACCTCCGACGTCGTGATCTCTTCCTAGCGTGGGTCTCCGGAGCTCTCGACACCACGGCCGTCATCCCGGGCCGTTGTTTGATGACCCCCAGGGAGCGCGAGAACAGCCCCTAGAGGTCGAACCGGCCCATGGGAAGTTGAAAACGGCCCTTCGGAGACCGAGAGAGGCGCCGATCGTGATGTTTTCCTTCGCAGCGGCTGTGACGACGACGACGACGACGACGACGACGACGACGACGATGACAACGACGGCGACGACGACGACCCCTCAAATCGATCCCCCGCCTGTCCTGGGGCGTGGACTAGCCAAAATCTCCGGGCGGCTCCAGCTGGGGCCAAGAGGGCAACATGGGAGTCCCAAGAAAGGGCAAGAACAAAAGCTCCACGACGGCGATGACTCCTTTGACTCCTTCGGCTCCTTCGACCCTGCATCGCTAAGTTCATGACGGCCGGGCAGTGCCGCTCCCAAAGGCTCATGAAAAAGGATTGCTCGTACCATGATTCACGACGTGGCAACAATGCCGACGACGACGACGACGAAGACGACGACGACGAAGACGACGACGACGACGACGACGAAGACGACGAAGACGACGACGGCGACCTCGATGCCTCCGGGTCGGGTGTTGGCAGGGGCGGCCCTGGCCGCAAAGTGGCCTGAGCTTTTCCAGGGAGGCCCGGGTGGCCCTCAGAGCACACCTCGCGGCCCGGAGGGCCCCAGGGGGCACCTTGGGTTCGGTCGGGCAGGTCCTCCTGCAGGCGGATTTTGTACGAAACATAAAAACAAGTCAGAACATGTCCAGACATGGTCAACAATAGTCGAAAAATCGTCCCCAAAGTATTGTTTGACTATTCTTGAAATGTTACCCTTCCTGCACGGCACCACTCATCAACTTCCAACCTCCCAAGGGGATACTAAGGGGTGACGCTGGATTCCAATGAGCCCGAACTCCGAGCTGAGGAGGCCTTCGAAACTATGGCAAGCCCTAAGAGAATGCCGACGGAACTTTTAAAGCGGATAAGACCAGCATCTACGTGTGGAGCGAACTGCCCCAGAATACTTGCACGGAACCGCGGCGTGACAGTGAGCGGTCTCGTTCCAGAGCACGCCCCCCATCGGACATAACGTCTGAGGGCAAGAAACGCTAGAGAGAGGGTACGACGGACTTACAGGGGGGTAAAACATCGACCTCGGATCGGCGATACGTGGCCGATGGACCGCCGATAGGCCCCCGATAGCGAGCCCGCACGCTCCTGGGCAGTGGTGGGCTATCTGGCCTCCATCGGCGATCGGTGGGCGATTGGTAGTCGATGCATCCCCCCCTGAGCCGATCCCCCCCCTGACGTTGCCCCGGAGAGGCACGGACAGCGGCATCGGTATCTCTGCCTCCTCGGGCCCCCTCCCCCCTGGACTTCCGACGGCATGACCTCCCCCCCTGAGCCTACCTCCCCCCCCTGACGTTGCCCTGGAGAGGCACGGATCGCGGCAGTGGCATATCTATGCCTCCTCTGGCACCCCCTCCCCCCTATAGAATTCCGACGGCATGGCCCTGCTCCACGCGCGGCCCTGAGGAGGTCCCAGACACCTCCCTGGAGGGCCGGCTTCTCGCCCGGCAGCCCATCTTCGCCCAGAGGGTTCCAAAGGGGGTTTTTGGGGAGGGGGTTCTCCAGGAGGGGTCCCCCAGGAGCTCCGCACCCTCTGTTTTGACGAGGTTCCGAAGCCCCTGGTGGGCTCTCTGGGAAAAAAAAAATCCCCCAAAACCCCCTTTGGAACCCTCCGGTTCGCGGGCCCGGGGGCCCGAAGGCGTCGTGGCCTCGGGGCCGACACTCGGAGGAACCAGAAAACAAAAATTATCCCGGCAAAGCAACCTAACAGCGATGTGTAGGAGCATATCTGGAAGCATTCCCCTTAAGATTCGGATGAGAATCCAGTTGTAGAATTCAGCTGTTCTCGCAGTCGTAGTCGCATTCGCGATGACAGTCGCAGTGGCAACGGCAGTCGCAGTCACAGCCTCAGCCTCAGCCTGCCTCAGCCTCAGCCTCAGCCTGCCTCAGCCTCAGCCTGCCTCAGCCTCAGCCTCAGCCTGCTTCAGCCTCAGCATCAGTCTGCCTTCAGCCACGGCCTCAGCCTCAGCCTGCCTCAGCCTCAGCCTGCATCAGCCTCAGCCTCAGCCTCAGCCTGCCTCAGCATCAGCCTGCCTCAGCCTCAGCCTCAGCCTGCCTCTGCCTCAGCCTCAGCCTGCTTCAGCCTCAGCCACAGTCTGCCGTCGGCCTCGGCCTCAGCCTCAGCCTGCCTCAGCCTCAGCCTGCATCAGCCTCAGCCTCAGCCTCAGCCTGCCTCAGCATCAGCCTGCCTCAGCCTCAGCCTCAGCCTGCCTCAGCCTCAGCCTCAGCCTCAGCCTGCTTCAGCCTCAGCCTCAGTCTGCCTTCAGCCTCGGCCTCAGCCTCAGCCTCCCTCAGCCTCAGCCTGCATCAGCCTCAGCCTCAGCCTCAGCCTGCCTCAGCATCAGCCTGCCTCAGCCTCAGCCTGCCTCTGCCTCAGCCTCAGCCTGCCGCAGCCTCAGCCTGCATCAGCCTCAGCCTTAGCCTCAGCCTGCCTCAGCCTGAGCCTGCATCAGCCTCAGCCTCAGCCTGCCTCAGCCTCAGCCTCAGCCTGCTTCAGCCTCAGCCTCAGTCTGCCTTCAGCCTCGGCCTCAGCCTCAGCCTGCCTCAGCCTCAGCTTGCATCAGCCTCAGCCTCAGCCTCAGCCTGCCTCAGCATCAGCCTGCCTCAGCCTCAGCCTCAGCCTGCCTCAGCCTCAGCCTCAGCCTGCTTCAGCCTCAGCCTCAGTCTGCCTGCAGCCTCGGCCTCAGCCTCAGCCTGCCTCAGCCTCAGCCTGCATCAGCATCAGCCTGCCTCAGCATCAGCCTCAGCCTGCCTCAGCCTCAGCCTCAGCCTGCTCAGCGCCTCGGCCTCAGCCTGCCTCAGCCTCAGCCTGCATCAGCCTCAGCCTCAGCCTCAGCCTGCCTCAGCATCAGCCTGCCTCAGCCTCAGCCTCAGCCTGCCTCTGCCTCAGCCTCAGCCTGCTTCAGCCTCAGCCTCAGTCTGCCGTCGGCCTCGGCCCCAGCCTCAGCCTGCCTCAGCCTCAGCCTGCATCAGCCTCAGCCTCAGCCTCAGCCTGCCTCAGCATCAGCCTGCCTCAGCCTCAGCCTCAGCCTGCCTCAGCCTCAGCCTCAGCCTGCTTCAGCTTCAGCCTCAGTCTGCCTTCAGCCTCGGCCTCCGCCTCAGCCTGCCTCAGCCTCAGCCTGCATCAGCCTCAGCCTCAGCCTCAGCCTGCCTCAGCCTCAGCCTCAGCCTGCTTCAGCCTCAGCCTCAGCCTGCCTCAGGCTCAGCCTCAGCCTGCTTCAGCCTTAGCCTCAGCCTGCCGTCGGCCTCGGCCTCAGCCTCAGCCTGCCTCAGCCTCAGCCTGCATCAGCCTCAGCCTCAGCCTCAGCCTGCCTCAGCATCAGCGTGCCTCAGCCTCAGCCTCAGCCTGCCTCAGCCTCAGCCTCAGCCTGCTTCAGCCTCAGCCTCAGTCTGCCTTCAGCCTCGGCCTCAGCCTCAGCCTGCCTCAGCCTGCCTCAGCCTCAGCCTCAGCATCAGCCTGCCTCAGCATTCAAAATGTGGCCAGGGAGTGGAATTCTGGGAACTCGAAGAACACGAAGTGGCCTACAGTTTGCTCCGGGCATTCAAAATCATACCCAGGAATGGAGTTCTGGGAAGTCCAAGAGCACGAAGTGGCCTACCAGTTAGGCTCGGGCATTCAGAAGTGGCCCGCGGAAGGAGTTCTGGAGTCGAAAGAACACCGAAGTGGCCCTTACAGTGGCTTTGTTTTCCCTTTTTCTTTTTTTTTTGCATCAAAATGTGGCCCAGGAATGGAAGTTCTGGGAAGTCGAAGAGCACGAAGTGGCCTACAGTTGGCTCCAGGCATTCAGAATGTGGCCCGGGAATGGAGTTTTGGGAGGTCGAAGAGCACGAAGTGTGTGACTGTTTGCGAAAAGCGCATTCGGACACGAGTTCGGACACAGCTCCCCGGATGCCGCCCCGACCCCCCTGTGGAGTCATCTGCTGCTCTCTTTTGACCCCACTAGAAACCTATCAGCAAAAGCTGTTAGGTAAAAACGCCGAAAACTGAAGATGTTCGACGCGGAGATCCCCATATGTGTGCCACCATCGGCGCTCGGTGGGCGTTCGGACCGCAATGTGCGCTCCCCCATGACAAGGGAAACCCAAAGGTACCGATACCGCTACTCCCTGGACCTCTCCCGAGGTGCGTTCTGACTAGAATTTCGAGGCGAATCCAGTGGTGGCGACGAGGGCAGCCCAGGAGGCCCACGAAGGGGAAAACGGAGGAAAAGTAGCAGTATGGGTACCTTGTCCTCCTTTGAATAGCGTTGCCCCTGACGTCCACGGCGACATCGACGACGTCCAGCCGAAGGTCGTCGTCGTCGTGGAGCTTGGCCAGCCCCGGCCACGGGCTCTCCTCCAGCGTGGCAGATCTCCGCCAGCCGCGGCCGCTGGCGGATGATGCGGCCTCGGAGAGCACCCGGCGGCGGCGACGTCGGCGGCGGCGTCGACGACGACGAAGACGACGGCGAGAGCGACGACGAGGACGGGGACGGCGACAAGCACGACGACGACGACGACGAGGGCAAGGAGGATAAGGACGACCATGACAACGGGGACGACGACGACGACGACGACGACGACGACGACGACGACGACGACGACGACGACGACGACAACGGCGACGGCGATGGCGACGACGACGACGACGATAATGATTGATGAGAGGACGAAGATGACGAAGACAAGGGGGAGAAGGGTGAGGACGATGACTTTCCCTGTGCTCCTGCCCGCTGCTCGTGCAGCTCGGGCTTCAGCACGAGGCGGAGGAGCAGGCCTGGATGGCCTTCCAGGTCGGTGGCTCAGGATATTCGGGCACGCGCTGACATGGATCACGGAGCCCTGGTCCGATCTGGCGCGTGGGCGCCACATCCGCGATCGGGGACAGTACCGCACGGAGCACGAAGCCAGCACCGCCTGAACTGGCGACGCATCGCGCCGACTCCGCACGGAAACGGGACCCGCTGCGAATCCGCGCCCCTTGATACACGACATGTTTGCGCTTCCTCGAGATCTGCTCCTGCACTCTCAGCGGCTTCGCCCCCTCGCACCGCGCGGCGCGCGACCCGCGGTACGTTGGACAGACCGTGCGGTGACCTCGAAATCCCCCAAGACCTCAACGCACGGTCCGTCAACGCACGGTTTTGGGACCCTGGAGGCCCCTGTCGCCCGAGACGTCCTCGGAGAGGGACTCGAGTCCCAAAACCGTGCGGTGACCCCGAATCCCCACCGACTCACCACACGTTGCGGGGGGCCCCCGAGATGCTCTCCAGACGCTCTCGCGCCGCCCCTCCGCGAGGAGCTCACGAGCGAGGAGCATGTCCGCATCCGTGCCCTAACGGCCTAGACGCCGAGGCCTGCTCTCAGGTCGGGCATGTCCCCCTACAGGAAGATTTTGAATGAAAATTTTAAAAAATTCTATAAATGCTCCAAAATGGAGAGAAAAACAAAAAAAAAAAACTTTAAAAAAATCGTCCCGTGATGAGTGTTTTACTATTTTTGAATTGTCCCCCTGTAAAGGGAAAGGCCCGATTTCAGCATGCTCCCATGTATGCGCGATCTCACGGACACGCCGCGCGTGGGACATCCGCGCAGACTGAGCACTTTCTTAGGGTGGAGGGCTCAGGGGGCGTTTGCACCTCGAAAACCAATCCGTCTCGTGATTCACCTTCTGCAGATTCGAGCCTCGAAAACCAATCGAGGCGGCACTTCAAATTTCACCCTTTGCCCTCCACCCAAAGAAAAACCTCGGGCAGAGCCGCACGGCATCCGCGGGGCCGCGGCCTGGAAGCGCAAACCGCGAGGCCGCGGACACCCGCGTGCGCGCGGAAGTCAACTCTCGACGTTGGCGGCGTTGGGAAGGCCGAGGGCGGTGAACACAGGAGTTTGGGGCTCCTCCAGGCCCCCGGGGGGGGAGGAGGAAGAGGAAGAGGAGGAGGAGGAGGAAGAGGAGGAGGAGGAGAAGGAGGAGGAGGAGGAGAGAGATGAGGAGGGGAAGGAAAAGGGGCGTTCCCCCGCAACGCCGACCGCTGCATTTTCCCAGAGCTTAGCTTGCAACTGGGGGAGGACATACTTGCTTTCGTCGGCAGTTGGACGGGACCTCTGGGTTTTGAGCTGGGGCCCTGCCGTGGGCGCCTGGTTGGCGCTCACGGCCGGGCCCCGTACAGTTTACATTGCGCCACTTGCACCACGCCGCTGGCTCCGCATAGCGTTGACCACATCGATTGCACCTCATAGCTTGCTCCAGGTAGCTTACACCACATGGCTTAGACCACATAGCTTGCACTGCGCAACTTGCATAACATAGCTTAGACCACGTAGCTTGCACAGCGTAGCTTGCACCATGTAGGTTACACCGCATAGCCTGAACCACATAGTTAGCACGACATAGCTTGCAATACCCAGCTTACGCCACACAGCTTGCATGACGCAGCTTAGACCACATAAAACTAGCCACCCAGTTGCACCACATAGCCTGCACGGCTTTGCTTACAAGACGCAGATTGCACCACATAGCTTGCACCACAGAGCGTACCCCACGTAGCTTGCACCTCATAGATTGCACCTCTCACGGCTTACACTGCACAGCGGACTCCACACAACTGACATCACCTGGATCTCGGCAAGCGGCCTGCACCACACTGCTCGCACATCCAGAATGCGAGAGGCTACTGGTTAGGGCCTACGCCAGCAGGCCTCACCCTGAGCTGCACCAGACGGCATCTCGGCCAGCACTCGCGCGCCTCTCGCCTGCGGCGAAGGGGCGGCGCCCTCAGCGCGGTGATCTTCGCCACCCGACCGGGTGGCCTGGGCGCTCGGCCCCACCATCTTCGCGCTGCAGGCCCCGACCAGCCCCGAGGGCGCGGGCGGTCTCGCGGGGGCGGCCTGCCAGACTCGGGAGGGAGGGGGTTCAGCGGAGGAGGAGGAACGAATGGAGAGGGAGGGATGAATGAGAAGGGAGTTCAATGGAGGACGAGAGGGAGGAGGAGGGAGGAGGACCTGTTCGAGCACGATTGGCCCATAGGAGTTGAATGGAGGAGAAAGAGGAGGAGTGAGGAGGAGGAGGCCTTTTGTAAAGACGATTGGTCATGGAAGGAGGAAAAGGAGGACGAGGGCCTCCCTCCCCCCCTCGCCCCTCCCCCGCCTTCCCACATCCTCCCCCCCTCCAGGGGGGAAGTAGGGGAAGAGGTAAGATCGGGGATTATATGAGTAGGGGCTGGCCTTCTCCTGCCTCATCCTTCACCTACACCCTTCCTGATTCCTTCTACTCATCAGCACCAGCAGCAGCACCCAACGCCATCAACAGCATCATCACCACCACCACCAAGATCACCATCACCATCATCATCATCATCATCATCATCATCATCATCATCATCATCATCATCATCATCATCATCA